AGGAACAAACGTCGTCCGAGTGCTTTCTTGAGAGAAACCATGTAGCGCTTCGTGAGATCTTCGCGTGGTGTGTACCTTTTTGAAGAAAAAAGTACTCCCATTTGGGTGTAGCCCCCGAGCCTCTTGCTATTTGGAACAAGGAGCTGGAGGGTCTTGTCTTGAAATTGTCCGGGTTCTTTTTGTCGTGAGGCCCTGAAGTGGTATGTCTTGAAGAAGTCTTCTTGGTGACGTGCGTTTTTTTGAAGAAAAAGTGCACTCACTGAGTGTAGCCCCCAAGCCTCTTGCTATTTGGAACAAAGAGTTAGAGGGTCTTGAATCTGAGTTGTTCAAAGAACTGAAAACCTCTCCTGTTGCAGCCCCCGAGCCTTGGATTGATTGAATAATCAACTCAAGGGTCTGGAATCTTCACGCAAGTCATCATCCGAGTAGTTTTGCGGTGTCTATCCCCCGAGCTTATGCGCCAGGTGAGCCAAAGGAACCACGTCGAGTACTCATTGGCGCTTAGCCCCCGAGCTTGGGAACTAGTCTGTGCCTTTGGAGGTACGCTTAGCGTCCTGGAGCATTGTCGCCGAAGCTTGTTCTAAAAGAAAAGATGCATACATTATGTAGCATATTTGTAGAATATTGAAACTACTGAAATTTATTCAGTGATTAATATAAACATTTTGTATCATGCTCTTATTTCGGCCATATCTCTCCCGAGTAGTTAGCCTGTTATGTTTAGGCTCTCAGTCCCCGTTTAGCCACAGCCACTGCGTGTGTGAGATCTTTGTCTCGTATACGCGTACAGGCACCGCCATTTGCATAGCTGAGATCTTTGTCTCGTGTATGTGTGTTGGCACTTAGGCGTAACAGGTGCACCTGAGGCTTTCATGAATTAAGGCGTGTTCTACTCAAGTAGATTATCAATGGCTAAGAGAAGACAAAAGTGAGTAGTCGGCGAGAGCGCGATTGTGCGCAAGAGTTTTCTGTCCTCCAGCAGAGTAGTCGACGAAGTGTAGCTCTGCATGCGGAGAAGAAGCCGGAAAATTAATTAAAAAAGTGACTTAGCTTATTCGTGGACGATTGTCGACGAAGTTGTCGCGGTCGTTGATGAAGCCACGACGGCTGTTGATTCCAACTAGTTGTCGACGGTGTGAGGCCCGCTCCCGACTAGTTTTCTAGTCGAGATGAGTAGTCGGAGTAGTCGTCGGCGAGCGTCATGGCATAGTCGAAGTAGTCGTCGATGAGTTGCCCGTCGAAGTAGTCAAGACAAGTAGTCGAAGTAGTCGTCCGCGGGTCGTCGAGCGCTCTCGCGAAGTTGAAGTAGTCATCCGCGGGTCGCCGAGCGCTCTCGTGAAGTTGAAGTAGTCGTCGGCGAGTCTTATGCGGCTAGAGTGATGCGCGTGTACAATTCTATGTACGACTAGCAAGGAGCATGCAACCTTCTTTTTGTCGATGTTTGAATAGCTGAGCCCACTTATTTCCTAGCAGCGCAGCTTGATGCTCTGTTCCCCTTGTTGTGTTTTGTCAACTTGCTCTCGCCCTTGTGCGGTGCAAAAGCTTCTGGTAGCAGCGACACCAGACAACATAATGGTATAATGGTTATGGTCTTTAGCGGTGGAGCATGTCAGCTTTGCAGGTGGAAAACTCGACGAGATCGGTGATTGACTTCTTGTGTCAGCTTCGAATTTGAGTACCGAAGCTGATTCCCGGTAGGACTCTGGCTCGATGCTGTACTCCGTCTCAGTTACGCTTCCACCGTTCCGCGTTGTAGCAGCTTTTGGGGATGAATTCATTGAGGAGTGATTCTCGCTTGCTCTGCGATTGACTCCGTCAATTGAATTGGATCTGTTGCGTGTAGATTGCAGCTGCTGATCGGTTGACGTCGAACTTCAAAAGACGCAGCAACACATTGATTTTTATGGTGAGGTCCTTCAAGCTCGCCTAATGATCGTCCGCCTCGCAGATCCATGAACCAAAGATGAAGGTTGATCCCGTCGAGAAGATCATGTTGACGAGGTCCGTCGAGCTCTCGGATGCAAATTCGCCGAAAGCCCCTACCTGGCGCGCCAGCTGTCGATGTTTGACCACCGATAGCCTGCCTCGAGGGTACCCGGGGCAGTATGTTCGGGCTTCAGCGTATGCGGAACTCGATGGTGAACGCAAGAGACAGTCGATTTATCCTGGTTCGGACCCTCGATAGCTGATCGAGTAATAGCCCTACGTCCAGTCGGCGTTAGCCCTTGCGTTGGATTGATTGTCTGGAGTTGTGTTGTTATAGTCGTAAAAGTCGTCCTCTGCTCTCCCGATCTAAGGAGCCCTGCCCTCCTTTATATAGTCAGGAGGTCAGAGTCCTAGTCAGTTTACAATGTAGAGTCCTAGTAGGATTACAGGGTAATATTACTACTAGGATTACATTGGAGAAATCCTAATCAAACTAGATCTCCTCTCTTCCTTGCGGGGTATCCCGTGAGTCCCGCATCAACAGTGATGCTCTTCAGGGTGTAATACAACAAAGAGATTGGATTGTGATCATCCACAACTTCAAGGTTGGATTTCTTTGGGATTAGAGTAATATGTGAAGAATTAGGCTGCTTATGTCCATAAAGTATTGCAGAAGTCTTTAACCAATCTTATAAAATCTTGCTTAATGATGGCCCAACACTTTTTGATAAAGAGTCCATTGAAGATATCTTGTCCTGGTGCATGGTTGTTTGGCATGCCTTTTATCAACATCAATGTGACATATTTAGGTAGTATAACATTCTCAAACATGTCAAAGTTAATCTCGGCTACGAACAAATTCACCGTCTCTTGTGTCTTTTTTTGGCAAGACTTAGTATATGTGACTCATGATTACCATCACTTAGATGGTGAATGCTCTTCATGATGGAATATGATGAGCTGGGATGTACTCATCATAGGCCAAGCGCTAACCAAATATTTGGCTTAACGACACAAAACCAAAGTTATTTGGCCAGCTGTCACCATCTAATTGAGGACAGCTAAAGGGCCGTGTTGTACATGGTTAAAAACCCTAATAATCTTAACCACTAGCAGCACCATCACACCCAACATAAAAGTGTAACATAGTGTATATTAATATGCAAGGCAATTGTGCAGCACCAACTGTAATCCATACTCATTCAGGTTGCAAACACATTGCTGGAAACATATATGATAGGGGAGAGAGTATGTGTGAAACTAACATATTCACTACGGGATACAGTAGTTTTGCCAAGTGCCAGGCACTCGGCAAAGTTCCAAAAACACTCGGCAACTGCTTTGCCGAGTGTAACACTCGGCATACAACACACGACATATGTGTGTCGGCAAACAGCTATTTGCCGAGTGTTTTTTATCACGCACTCGGCAAATGGTTTGCCGAGTGTCAAATTGGACACTCGGCAAAAAAAATTGGTTTGCCGAGTGTTTTTCAAAATACACTCAGCAAACCTATTTTCCAAAGAAAAAATAATTATTATCCGAACAGCAAGGAAATCAGCCCCTGTGGATGCAAACCAATAATCAATCATCATAGAAGACCAGCAGAGCATTTCATCGAGCACCAATAGGGCAGCAGTTACTAATCAAATCGAAGTCCAAGGATAGAGATCGACGTGCACCATGGCTGTAGCCAACCTCCAGCTAGGTTGAGGAGGGCCAGCACAGCCCCCGCCTCATCCGTTCCCGGCCCCACCAGGCCCGAAGTGCGCTGTGGACCGGGCCGCCGCCCCCGACGCCGGTGAAAGCCGGAGAGCACCACCTCCGACCCCGCTTCGGCTCAAACGCACGGAGGGGGCAGGGATGGTGGATCCGCTCGCCGCCGGTTGAGCCACCCCCCTCTCCGAAGAGCACGCAGAGGAGCCCCGCAAGGGAGACACAGGAGCAGATCCGGACGGGGGAGAGCAGATCGTGGCGGGGGAAGGAAGGATCCGCCCGCCCCGGTGCCGGAGGCGCTGCCGGCCGAGGTCCCCCGCCAAGAATTGCGCTGGAACCAGCACAGGAGCTTCGTGGGAGAGAGGAAAGAAGGAAAAAGAAGCCCGGCCGCCACTATCCTTACCCTTCGCCGGGCCTCCAGCGTTGAGCTCCAGTGGATCGAGGCGAAGTGGCTGAGCGGATCGAGGCTGAGAGGGAGGGGCGCTGGGGAAGAGAAGTGCGGGGTGCTCGGGAGGGCCGATGGGCCGGTTTATTAAGTGGATTTTTGTCCTTTGCCGAGTGTCCCAGATCTGGGCACTCGGCAAAGTGGATTTTTTTTCTTTTTAATTCTCAGAAAAAATATTTTTATTTCTTTGCCGAGTGTTCTAGATCTGGATATTCGGTAAAGTTTTTTTAATACTTTTTTCTCTTTCTTTCCCAGAAAAAAAAGATTTTTTTTCTTTGCCGAATGTCCTAGATCTGGGCACTCGGCAAAGTTTTTTTTTTCTCTCCTTCTTTCCTAGAAAAAAGATTTTATTTCTTTGCCGAGTGTCGTAGATCTGGGCACTCGGCAAAGTTTTTTTTAATTTTTTTTCTCTCCTTCCTTCCCAGAAAAAATATTTTATTTCTTTGCCGAGTGGCCTAGATCTGGGCACTCGGCAAAGTTTTTTTAAATTTTTTTCTCTCCTTTCCTAGAAAAAATATTTTATTTCTTTGCCGAGTGCAAAAGATAAAACACTCGACAAATCACCCTCTTTACCGAAGTTTTTTTTTGATACTCGGCAAACCCTCTCTGTGCCATGTGTTTTTTTTTTGCCGAGTGTTTTTAGCGCAGCACACGGCAAATGACTTATTCGTCGAGTGCTCCAGGAAATACACTCGGCAAACATAAAAACACTTGGCAGATTTGACGTTTCCGGTAGTGATTGGAGGATATTTCCCCACACAGCAAGCAACAACCATGCTGGACAAACAATAGATACATAGCTACATGGTGTTTTTGGTAGATGTATATAGAATTAGCTACATGGTGTTTTTGGTAGATGTATATAGAATTTAACAGTTCGAGATGCAGATATTGGTTGGGAACGTAACTTTTCTCATATCTCTCCGTCCCATAGCTCCTCCAAGGTCTTGTATGGCCCGTCTGGTGACAAAAAGAACTCCCCACGGCATGCTCTCCTCTGTGGAATCCCCGTGATCTTCTCCTTGTCGTCGTCGTTCAACTCCCAATCGAAAAGCTCCATGTTTTGCTTCAACCTGTCCTTGTTAAAGCTCCTGGCCACGAAGCACACACCTTGCTCGTGCAGCCACCTCAACGCCACCTAGAAATGTAAACAGATGAGGATCAGTTCACAGACGTATTGCTACAACTATAACGTTTTGAATTGATGAATTCTTAGTTATTCCAACAGACGCAGTTTTGTCTTCGTTTTTTTCTGAATAAAGAAGTTATAAACTAGGAGGAAGGAGAACACAGTACCAAGTCCTAAACAGTTTACCCAAATTAAACAGTTTACCTTCAATTCAAAAAAGAATTTATCTTGATTATTCACAGAGCAACGAAGAAATACTTCTGGTTTAGAGTAATAAAAACGAGCCAATCCAGTCTTTTCCCTTTTTGCTTTTTAATTTTTTGTTTACCTGAGCAATCGTCTTGCCTCTCCTGGCGGCGACGTCCTTCAAAACGCCGCTCTCCATGACGGCGTTGGATCCCCACATCGAGCCGAACGCGCCCAGCGGTGAGAAGGCAGTGACGACGACGCCGTTCTTGGCGCACACCTCCCTGACCTTCTCCTGACGCCAGCCGACGTTCAACTCCACCTGGTTCACCGCCGGCGGCACGGCAGCGAAGGCGAGCAGCCGGGACATCTTGGCCGCGGAGAAGTTGCTGACGCCGATGGACCTCGCGAGGCCCAGGCGGTGGCACTCCTCCATGGCGCGCCAGACGCCCTCCATGTCGAACGGCACGAACTTGTTGTTCTCGTCGGCGGCGAGGGGCCAGTGGATGAGGAAGAGATCGAGGTAGTCGAGGCCGAGGCGGGCCAGCGACTCACGGAGCGCCGGGAGCACGCGGTCCGGATGCGCGTCCTTCATCAGGAGCTTGGAGGTGATGAAAAGGTCAACGCGGGAGGCGACGGCCCCCGTAGCGACGGCGTCGGCGACGGCGGCGCCGACCGCCCCCTCCGTGCCGTACATGGATGCCGTGTCGATGTGGCGGTAGCCGAGGCGGACGGCGTGGAGGATGGTGGCCGCCAGGTCCTCCGGCGTGCTGGAAGAGCCGGTCCCGAAGCCCAGCACGGGGATCGCGTGGCCCGTGTTGAGCGCCACGCACGGGATGCTCGCCGACGCGCCGGCCATCGCGTTCTTGGGCAGTTGGGCGGTCAAAGGATGCGTTTGTGTGCTTCTTTGCTTGGGCAGTTGTAAGGTGATGAAGATTCCTCGGTTTATATGGACTCTTCAAGATGATTAGTAGTAATCGATTTTCTATCGAAAAGAAGATTATGTATCCGAGTAATAAGAAAGGTAGTTGGTACGCTTACGTTTCAATCAAAGAATAAAAAGATAAGCAATAGTATTGTAGTACTACTATCTCGGTCGCTGTCTCTATCTTATCTTACAACTAAAAAACAGCCAGCGTTTTCGTTCGCCGCCGGTCTTGACCGCGTGCCTGTGATCTATGCGCCAGCGCCTCCCGCAACCGTAAACAATAACTGTAAAAAGATGATGCGTCGAATCTGGACGGCTGGCTCCCGTCCGTAAAAGAAGGCTGCACGAGAGAGAGTTATAATGCCCTGCATGCTGTATGCAACCGTAAAGAAAGGAATTTTTTTTTCTGTACACGACACACGAGCAGCTCTGGCGATCGCTTCACAACCGTAAATTACGGTATTTTTTATCCGACTAGTTCATGTCCGTGCGTCGATACGGAACAACTAAATTTTTATATAAAAACACATAGATCGCATGATAAGATAATAATATTGTAAAATATCACTTTAATGTCGATAATTAATTTTACAATATTGTTATTTTATTATGCGATCCATGTGTTTTTAGTACAAAAGTTTAGTTGTTCCGTAGGAACACACGGGCATGAACCTAGTATACTACTAAAGTTGCATAAAAAGATACAGGGTTGATAAGCCAAATATCCAGTTAGCACTTGCCTTATGATAAGTACATCCCAGCTCACCGTATTCCATCATACGAAGAGCATTCACCAAATAAGTGATCGTGCTAAAAAGATACAATAGACAGTGAATTTGTTCGTAGCTAAGATTAACTTTAACATATTTCAGAATATTGTACTACCTAAATATTTCACATTGATGTTGATAAATGGCATGCCAAACAACCATGCACCAGGATCAGATGGCTTCAATGAACTCTTTTATCAAAGAAGTGTTGGGCCATCATTAATTAAGCAGGATTTTATAAGTCTGGTTAAATACTTCTTCAATACTTCTATGGACATAAGCAAATTAAAAAGGATCATTAGCGAGCCAAATCGCAGCTGTGGCCGCTATCTTGTGCTGTCGTCGCCTCTGTCATCCTCGTTGGATCAAACGTCTTTGGAAGTTTGGAGGGACGAGACAACCTGTGAACGTCTTACAAAATAAATCTTATTTCAGAGGTGCATCTTTTAAATAGCCATATCAGCGTATCTGTTAGTTAATTGATTTTTAGAGACGGCCATAAGTTGGCTACCTCCTTAAATGAGTGGAATGCCTCCAAAAACCGTTCTGCTTTTCTGATACTATTTTTTCCGATTGCCTGTGTATGTATAAAAAAAGTGTCTCTAAAAATCTTTTCTGCAGTAGTGGCGAGCTGGGCTAGGGCAGGCGGTAGCCCACCACCATATTTTATTGGGCACTCCTCCTTTGGTTCTTTATTGGGCCGATTGGATCATTAAATATGTTTTTGTTAATTTTTTATAAATTTATCTTTCCAAAACTTGGGTTTAAAAAATTAATTGTTACACCACGGGCCTGGGCCTAGGTACGGCAGCCAAATAAATCCTTTATTTGGCTAGTAGTCAATTTGGCCATGCATAATCCGGTTTGCCATAGTTTGTCTGAAGAACATGTTTTTGAAAATGTGTTTTGAAAGTTAAATTGCGGTATTCTTGGTCCTTGTTTTTGAAAGATATATAGCTAACGGTCTGTTTGTAATTTATACATTTTCCTGTTAGACAAAAATGTAATTGTCGGATACCAGAAAATGGGGTACCCCAAGCAAAGATCGAAAAAATGCTTAGACCCTAAGAACAGAACTAATGGAATAAACAAATGAGGTCTCGGCCGAAATCTCCGATTCGCCCGAGACCCCGTCGCCGAAGCCCCAATGAAGCGAACGATTCCGACTTCGCCGAGGCCCCCGGGGCCTCGGAAGAAGGGGATTCTCGGAAGAAGTGCCGATTCACCGCCCGTGACCGCCGCGCGAGGCCGGCTCGCTCGCACCAGCCCCTGACGTGACCGCCTCTTCGACCAAATCGCTACACGCCCGATCGATCAACGTCGCCATCCAAGCGCCTAACCACCACCACAGATCGCTGGCGCGCACGATGGCATCGATGGGGAGTCGAAGTGACTGTAGACTACACGCCGCCGCTCGATCAACCTCCCGCCATCCGCGACGCCCAGCAGAGAGCCCGGGGGTTACCGACCACACACGCTTCACCACCAGGCCCATGCAACGTCGCTTGCCTCCTAACTCGCACCAAGGACGATCCACCATCGCGCTACACCCGCCACGGGAGTCGAACGGGTTCTGTAGCCTCGGAATCGGCGGACCGACCGCTTCGGCTCGCCGAGCCCTCGACTATTCAGGCCTCGGATTCACCGATCTTACTCCGCCTCCTCTCGTCCGATGGCATGGAGACCCCCGGTAGAGCCTCCGACAGACGAATTGGCCACGCCTCGCCTCCGCCCGAGGCGGGCATGTTACTTGCAAAGTGGAGCAACCTCGTTGCCTCCTCCTCAAAGGTCTCTCTCGGCAGGTTGTCCGATCCAATTAATGCGCTCGGTTTACACCGCTTCGTAAGCCACGATCGTTTCTAGGGACGGCGGATAGAGTCACGAACACTCGACGACGATCGTCGGTTCGGGAGCCTAGAATTCATGTCTCTAGGGCACGAGCACGACATGGTACTCCTCTCACGACTAGGCGTAGGGCATCCATCAACCAAGATAAACCTTGTGACTTTGCGTCATGCGAATTGGGAGCACGCGCAGACGCGTAGACGGTGCACGCCGGGCCGCCGCCCCGTCAAGCTGCGCGATCAGGCGGCGCTGCGGGCGAAGTCCCTAACACGCGCACGCGCGTCTCGGGTAACACGATGCGTTCCTCAAGGGAACGTGCTTCATGTCTCCCGAATCCCATACCCCCGCGCGCGGCATAGGGTCCTCAGACGGGGACCCGTCCGGCTTAAGCCTCGGCGTGGGAAAAGGGCGGTGGCATGCAAGAACGCCCATCATCAAGCTCTGTCCCACCTCCTCCCGAGGAGCCAACTCTAGCGGAGCCGTGCCTGGAGACGGCGCCATCCCTATACCCTTTCGGGCTGACCAATGTCGCCGCCTCCTATGCCACCGCCCTCGTCTCCATTCATCAACGTCATGCCCATAACCCCATAGTCACAACTCCAATCCACCCCCACTCTGACTCCTAGGAGGAGGACGAGGCGTGGGTTGGAGCAGACTTCTCCAGGCTTCGTGACCCTAAGGCGATGAGCCGCTTCATGATCGCGAGCGACTACTGCTTCGGCTACTCCGATTCCGACGGCGAGGACGCTTACGACCCGACTCGTGAGTGTTTCCACATCGGACTCGGAATGCCAAGCATGGGCAACGATGGAGGAAGGGTAGCCAACGCCACACCACCACGCACGGGGTCCCCGCCAGCGGTGGCAGGTGTCCCCACCCCCGAGCAACTTCGACGCATAGACCTAGAGCAGCTATGTGAGCTTCAAACCAAGGTCGAGCAAGATCGACTCCTCCTGCAGCAGCTCCGAGCCACCCTCGAGCAAGAGCAGCGGGGGCGCGGCGATGGCGGAACAGCCCCGCTGGGGGCTCGCGACGTCAACCGCCGCATTAACGATGATGAGGGGGGCGAGCAACCCCCTGTCTTCAATCACGCTAGCCAGAACATCGCTGCGGCGGCGATATCTGGTCCGAGCGATGCCCGAGCCCTCTACCACGGAGGGGCGACGGGTCCACGGTGAACTCCGGGGCCTTCTCGAGACTGCCGCGGTGCAGCAGGCCGAAAGCTCCGCATCTCGATGACGCGGGGACGCCTCGAAACAGCCCTCGGTGCACGACCGCCTCAGGGCTCCCTCGGTGCACGACCGCCTCAGGGCCCCCTCGGTGCATGACCGCCTCGACGACCAACGCGAGGCGCAAAACGGCCACCACGCGGGCAGCAGACGACGGCGCCACGACCACGATGGGGCCACCCGGGGCTACCAATTGCACCGAGGCGGTCGCTATGACAGTGGGGAGGACCGCAGTCCTTCTCCCGGGCCGCCTGGCCCTAGAGTTTTCAGTAAGGTCGTCCGTAGCGCCCGCTTCCCGGCCCGGTTTCGTCAGCCAGCGAATCTCTCAAAGTACAGCGACGAGACCAACCCCGAGCTATGGTTGGCCGACTACCGTCTGGCTTGTCAGCTAGGCGGTGCGGACGATGACCTGCTTATCATCCGCAACCTCCCCTATTTTCTGTCGGGACTCGGCCATGAGCTGGCTCGAACACCACCTTCCCTATGCAAATCCACGATCGGGCGCGACTTGGTAAAGGTCTTCGTCGGGAATTTCCAGTGGCACCTCGCGCTACGGGAACTCCCTGGGACCTCAAGAGTTGTTGCCGGGGGCGGATGAGTCTCTCCGAGACTTCATCGAGCGTTTCTCCAAGCAATGCACCGAGTTGTCCAGTAGCGTCGGCGACTCAGAAATCGTCCAGGCATTCCTCTCCAGCACCACCTATCGAGACCTGGTCCGAGAGTTAGGCCGGAGCGCATCGACCACGCAGTCGTCCGCACTCCTCGACATCGCCACCGGCACCGCCTCTGGCGAAGAGGCCGTCGGGCCATCTTCCCCAACAATGACTCCAAGGGAAGAGGCGGGATGAGACCCCCGAGCCTCGGACGCCTCGCCCCCGAGAAAAAGAAGAAGGGACGCCAGGGGAAACAGGAGGTTCTCGAGGCCGGGCTCGTCGCAGCCGCGGACCGCAAGAATCCCCGAGGCCCAGGGCTCTTCGACAACATGCTTAAAAGACCCTGCCCATACCATCAGGGCCCGGTAAAGCACACCCTCGAGGAGTGCACCATGCTCCGGCGATACTACACCAAGCTCGGGCTCCCCAACGAT